TCCCCTGCACCTCATATTACCCTTGCGTGCAGGCTGCCCGCCCCCTGAGGGGAGATCTCACCTTTTCAGTCCAAGCAAGGGCACCAAGGACACTCAGATGGCCACTGCCACACCCAGCTGCAGTGCTCAGGGCCTCCTCTCCTCCCTGGTACATACACCTCACCGCTCCTGGGCCAGGCCGGCCCACACCAACCTAAAACACAGGCCTTCACAGGACTCACAGGAGCAAAGCCAGCAGGGAGCTGAGGTGAGGACAGCAGGGCTCAGCCCAGCAGTCCAGAGGCTTCCTAGAAGAGGCAGCGACCACCCTGCTCCAGGATCAAGCTCGTCCAGGTGGAGAGAAGGGAAAAAGGGCATTCCTGCTGCAGGCCAGCCTGTGACAGGCCTGGGAAGGGGAGGGCACACAGCTGCCTGGGCCCTGTGCCAGCTTGACCTCCTATCCACCCTTGGAGCCACCCACCTTTTCCCCAGCTGTACCAGGTGCACAACCAGGGGCTTGCAGCAGGAGCCAGAGGCTGGGAGGCAGCCCAGGCCCACCCTCGGAAGGAGCTTGGGCTGCTGTCAAGAACACAGCGAGGGCTGGGCAAGAGTACACACCTGCAATCCCAGCACTCCGGGAGGCTGAGACAGGAGGACAGCAAGAGCAAGCCCAGCCTTGACAACAGGACTTAGACCCTCTCTGCCTCAAAATTTTTTTTTTTTTTTTTGGTTTTTTGAGACAGGGTCTCACTATGCAGTTCAGGCTGAAATTGAGCTCACTTTGTAGCCAGGCTGGTCTCGAACTTACAACAATCCTCCTGCCTCAGCCTCCCAAGTGCTGGGATTACAGGCATGCGCCACCATGCCCAGCTCCTGCCGCAAAATGTTAAAAAAAATATATATATAAAAAAAAAAAAAATATATATATATATATATATATATTTTAAGACGGGAGATGTAGCTCAGTGTGAAGGTCCAGGGTTCAATGCCCAGGACTAAACAAAAAACAAACAAAACCCACAGCCACCACCAGCAGTAGCCTCTGAGAACCCGCCTCAGTGGGGACAGGGTAACCTCTGGGGCCCCCTCCTCAGTGTCCATCCTCACCTGAGGAAGGCCCGAGAGAGCCCAGTCCCTGCAGTCCCCTGCCTGTCAGACCCACATATCCACACCCAAAGTGTTTGACCACTCTGGCCAGAGAGCTCCACCTTGGTGTAGGGCTCTGCCTTTTGTCTCTGGCCCCAGTGTCCCACCAGTGGAGGCAGCCTGTCCCTGGAGCAGAGGGTACAGGGCTTCCCTGGCTCTTGGCACCAGCCCAGCATGGCAGTCCGGGCCCTCCAGGGCACAGAGGTGAGGTCCCAACCCACATCCCCAGCACCGACCAGTCCAGAGCAGAGCTTCCCTTCCTGGCACTCGCTTGAGAAAGGCCCAGCCATGGCGTGGCCACCCGCAGCAGAGTCACATGTCTCTCGCCATGTCTGGGGTGCATCGGAAGGAAGTGCTCAGGCTAAGTCACTGAGCAACTGCAGGTGCAGGGGTCCAGGCTCCCTGCCCCTTTATCTTCCCAGGACTCATCTCTGCCTCTAGGAAAAGTGTGACACGCAGCGCTCATGCGATTACCTGCGTGGTGTCACCATCAGGAGCCCTATGTGAGGGTGCACGCTTTGGGCTCCCTTCCCCTGGGAAGGAGCTGGAGGCCCAGCATTGGGCGGGTGCCTCTGCAGCACCGCAGGCTCCCAGCTCAAGCCATGCTTAGAACAGCCACCAGAGGGCAACCGCCACAAAGCAGACCAGGAGTGGAGAGTCGGCAGAGGACAGGCTCCGGGAGGGGCAGGCACCAGGGGGCTCAGGAGGATCAGGTATGGTCGGCACAGAGGGCAGGCCTGGAATGGGCAGAGACCAGGGCAGGCCAGGGCTGATACAGCTTTGGCCTTCTGGGACACAACTGTGCCTACAGAAGGCCTGGACCAGCCCCAGGGGTGTCCTTATCAGGAATGCATGCCCAAAGGCTCTGGGGACCTGCATGCTGGACAAAATCCTGCACTGATCTCCGGGGCTGATTCCACAGGATCTGCAGCAGGGCCATTGACCCCATCCCTAAGAGCACAGGGTGTGCGGAGGGACTGCCCCAGACAGGCCAGGGAACCACAACACAAGTGCAGGAACAAGGCCCAGCCCAGGCCTCTGGGGGGTGGAGGGTGGGTGAGACAGTCTAAGGACTGCAGCCCAGGAGCCGAGGCACCCAGGAGAGGGAGAGGCAGCACGAAGCAGCCCCCTGGGGGTTGAGAAGCAGAGATGGCCATCTCCGAGGCCCCTTCTACTGAGCTGAGCCTCAGTGCACAGTGAGGGCACAGTGTGACAGAGCAGGGGCTGGGCCCACGGCTCTGGGCCACCATTCTCCCACTGCTCTGCAGGGCAGGGCAGGCACCCTGGGGCAAGGGAGACCCAGGCAGGCCCAGGGGCCTGGACTCCCTGTGCTGTGGCCCTTCAGATCAAGCCTCCCACTTGGCCTCCGCCTTGGCCTCACCAGACAAGGGGGCCTGGGAGCCCCTGAAGCAGGTGGAGGCCACACCCAGACTGGGCACCCCCTCTCAGCAGCAGCAGCCTCCTCTACATCATTAACCTGCTTTCCTCAAGGAGTGGGGTCTGGTTCGAGTCAGGGCAGCGCCACCACAGCCCCTTGCCAGCGCCTGGCCAGGTGCCCTGGGTGTGGCCAGCTGCAGCACTGCTGACCAAGCCCAGAGGGCAGCCCCTACAAGGGGCTCAGGGTGGAGACTGAGCGAGAGCACCAGGTGTCCAATTCCAGCAGCCCTGCGGGTACCCCATGGACAGCACCCCCTTCCCGCCCAGCACAGAGGAGTCCCGGGTTCGAGCTCCGACCACACTCAGTTCCCTTACCAAACCCCAGACCTCAAGCCTCCCCCTGCCACGGCCACCACCTAGCTGGTGACACACGGGAACAGACCGAGGACGTGGCGCGCAGCCCTGGCCACGCCCAAGGCCCCGACTCCGAGTGCAGACAGGCCGCTCCCCAGAGCAGGTGGGAGGCCGGCGGACCCCAGGCCGACTCAGCCCTGCCCGGTTACAGCAGAGGGACAGCGATGGGGAGGGAGGGACAGGCAGGGGCTGCGGACAAGAGGCAAAGTGAGCGGCAGAGACGGGGACAGCGTGCGAGGCCAGGCGGCGCGGGAGGAGAGGCAGGGACCCGCCCGCCCGCGGAGCCCACCCGCCGGGGCAGGGCTGCAGGCGGGGAGGAGGCGC